ACGAAGAGAAAGAGAGAGAGAGAGAGAGAGATCTGAATAAGTTCAAACAGAGGGAGGATCGAACCAGCCCGAGGAATCGTCGCGATTCTTTCCAAGCGCCTTATCTGACCGCTGAACGGATTCATCGGCTAAGATGGAACGCGAAGGGAACGGATCCCACGTCCCAATTACGCTGAGCCCGCTGTGTGTCATTGGGTTAACCCAGTTCCCGCCGATCCCTTTGTCCCGCATCGGGAGAACTAATGCCGTTAAAAGAGGCCAGGTCCTGCTGGCTTGATGTCCTCCTCTCTTCTTGGTACCGCGGATGCTCGCCGTTCCTCAATTTAATTACACCATCTGCAGGGACGACGATGGAGAGGGACTTTTTATCGTGGCGCGAGCTGGGCTTCAACGGGAGGTTCTTTATCGAGTATTTAGTTCCTGGACAAAGGAGAGGGACGATTCTCCTGGCAAAGAAAATCTATTTATACGCTATTAACGCAACACGAATGCGATTAGTTGCCTCGGTTCCATCAGGACCACGGCCACCTCTTTCTTTCATTTTGCTTTTGATTTTAGAGGAGCGATGTAACGTTATGCAGCTGATTTAGCGTGATAGTAGTTAACGCAATGTAATAGTTGGAATATTAATATTAATAGTAAAAATACGTTGTAGTTCGTTCGATTAGGATAGCCAAGGAAAATTGTTCGTTGTGTGGTGTAGGTCTTGTAGGTTTATAACGGAGGATCAGTTTTATGTTTCTAGAGTTATGGTGTGTGGATTCTTTAGGTTCCCCGAACACCGAAGGGAATCGCCGGGTCTGCCGACAACCGGTTCGACGTTTTGCGGTGAACGGGCAGAGACTAGTCGGTTGGGACTCCCGTCGGCTCAATCGCAACACACTTCCCCATCGGGGGCAGTAGACCGTGCCGTTTGCTCGAGTCTTACGGCTGTTGCGTGCGGAGCTAGGGGCTCAGAGACGAGTGTTGATAGGGTCGCTGATCCTACCAATCCCTACAGACTCGAGTGAAAAGTTCAAGCAGCGGTAATGAATATTTCATGTACCGTATCAATTACCGGCGAGTCAGATTAACTGCTTCCTTAATACTATTATTATTCTATTAACCTAGATATTAAGTCAGTCATACGGTGGCCTATTCAATTTCTAATGAACGTGTTCATTAACGAAGCACTCTAAACTCGAGCGCTTCTCCGGTTGCCATCCAATTCAGAAGGAACTCCATATAGAGATCCTACGCGCTAAACATTAAAACAGCTCTAAGTTCTATGATCATCGACAAATCTAGATGAAAATCATTCAAGCGTAAAGCTTGAACAATAATCTCGAAGATAACCTATTCTTTTTATACACACATCGCCTATACTTTCACAGCACAGACAAATAGTAGCATAATTATTACTTGTCCCAATACTACCTACTTATGCACTTGACCAAACAGTTTTATTCGACATGAATCGCTTTACCGCAATTGCCCTCGAGCAGCTTAGACGGTCTGGTCACCGTTGACCACGACGGTCAATCAACGTTAATATTTCGCACGGACCTCACGGGGCCTAAGTAACCGAATATTAACTGCTCGATAATTCCACGAAGGGATCCAGTAGGAAACGCTCCATTTCCGATTCGAGCGATCCCCTTTCGCCAGTTAGCTTATCGACGGAGCGGCACGGATAAAGCAGGGAGCCCCTTACCGGTCGAGGTTGGACCGAGAGAGCCGGGATCAAACAGTGAACGGGACGAACGCAGGAGGGACTGGCGAACCCGGTTCACGCTG